GAAAAAGATATTTTAAAATGTCACTTTTTTGCAAGAAATTCGTTAATACATGTGGAGTTCTCATATACCCCCAAAGCACTTCTAGTACAAAACATTAACAGTTTTGAGAAAAATCAATAGAATAATCAGAAAATTCATGCAAAGATGAATAAGGAGCAAAACAATTCCATGTTTTGCAGCCAGTGCTTGCAGTCAGTGTTTTTTTTTAAGTTTCAAAGTTTTTGTCTTGTTACTTGTTGCCTGAGTACACATGTACCTTAATGTTTTGTTCTTGTGTTTTAATGCCATAAAAATTGAAGCTAACACAAAAACATGAAGAACACTTTCTGAACACAGCTAAGTTAATACTAAAACTCACAGCAAAGCATGTGTCCTCTGTGAAGCTTTGTGTGATAGCTACCCATCTGCTCAGAGTGCTCATGGGTGGACGCCAGGTAGAAGTCTATTTGGAGCTTAATGCCTGGAGGAAGTGTTTTCCTCACAATAAACTTTCATTTGTCAGATAAGATGTGTGTATCTTGCCTTTCTCATTTTGATTTGGCTATCAGGAAGCTCCCAGCCACAAACCTTGACCTAGGATTTTTGTTTTTGATTCTGGGTTTTTTCCATTCTGTCTACCACTTCTTCATTTAACTAAATTCTTTAAAAAAAATCCTAGAACATCTACTTTTATTGAAACTGTCTAAAATCCTCTATGGAAGTACAGGTTAAAAAAAATAGTTAAGAAAGCTAAGAAAGATTAAAAATATTGAAAATGTCAAAGAATTATGGTCTATTGCAGTAACGTGATAGTAATTGAATGTAAGCACTGGTTGTTCAAGTTCTTACTGTAGAAGGGCAGTTAACAAGGTGGATAGAACATGCCTTTTCTTAGTCTACAGGAGGGCCTATATTTCTCCTACCTACTTACCTGTGCACTAAATAGAATGGGTAAGCATTTCAGAGGAATTTGTATAGCATGATTTTTATAAATTATTATTGTTACAAAAGATTATTAAATAATATTGCATATTAATATTGCATAACAGTGTGTATGTTATTATTTGCATTATAATGCACAATTAGTAAGTCATTGCAAAATGTCGTGACACCTGTCATCAATTTGGGTTAGAGAAGCAGAGAAACCATACCACAACTTGAGTACCTGAGAGTCTTTTTTCATGTGCCTGTGCTGAATTTTACCTACTGGCTGAAGCTTATTGCGGATTAGTAGAGAGCTGAGGTTGCTAAGCGTCACTGACTCTAAGCCAGGGGTCCTCAAACTACGGCCCACGGGCCACATGCAGCCCACTGAGGACATTTATCCTGCCCACCGGGCTTTTTTGCCACCGCTGCCTGTCCTGCTTAGCAGCCGACTCGTCCCGGGCCCACCGTGCGCATGTGTGGAATGTGCGCTGCACTCTCCAACGGCCCCCAACGGTCTGAGGGACAGTGAGCTGGCCCCCTGCTTACAAAGTTTGAGGACCCCTGCTCTAAGCAGAGGAAATGCTTCACCAAAGCAATGTTAGAGAAGCCAAAAACACTGGCTTAGTCAAACAAAAACTTGTGTTTTAGCTCCTTATAAGGTATGTTTTTTGGAAAATTAAACATAAAATAGTCCTAGTTGAGTATCTAGGCTCCTCACAAGATAAAGAGAATTTTAGACAAACTTACCAAAATGGCACCATAAGAAGAAGAGTGGAGTGTCCAGGACTAGAGCTAGTTAGTCCTGCACTGTCTAGATCTGTAGTTTCTCTAAGCCTTAGTTTCTTCATCAGAATAGAAAGGTGCTGAAGCTAGAGATATTCGGTGGGTCCCTAAGATGAAAGAGAGCACAAATTTCTCTGCTGAAATTCAGCTAAATTGAGGACCTTATGGTGTCTTCCAGACACATAGTGATGTGTGATATACACAGTCTTCTTTTAACACAGAGAACTTGAAACGTGAGTGTCATCTTTTTACTACCAACTAATCTCGAGTTTGGGTACTTAGTTGGTGTTTGGTAAAAGATCTTTTGTTTATGATAGTTCCTCTTTCAACCCGTGGTCAGTGAGATACGCACTTTGCATAGTACATTTTTTCTTTGAGAAGTGAGGATAGGCCTGTGTAGGGCCCCGCACGCTCCTGCCCTGCCCTCCTATTGTCCGCGAGGCAGACGCGAGGGGCAGATGTCTCCAGTGAGCAAAGCTCACCAGGGAGATGGGCGCCCGGTAGTGAAGATGCAGGCTCCGAAATGAGAGTCTTCGCAGTCCCCTTCCAGTCCTCCCTGCTCACTTGTTTGCTGTGTGACCTTGGGCAAGTAATTTAACTTCTGTGCCTCAGATGTAAAATGGGGAAACAACTGACCCTACCTCTTCGAGTTAAAAGTGCAGACCATTTTAACCTTTCCATGTGCCTGTGCTGAATTTTACCTGCCGGCTGAAGCTTATTGCGGATTAGTGGAGAGCTGAGGTTGACACCACAAGGTCCTCAATTTAGCTGAATTTCAGCAGAGAAATTTGTGCTCTCTTTCATCTTAGGGACCCACCGAATATCTCTAGCTTCAGCACCTTTCTATTCTGATGAAGAAACTAAGGCTTAGAGAAACTACAGATCTAGACAGTGCAGGACTAACTAGCTCTAGTCCTGGACCCTCCACTCTTCTTCTTATGGTGCCATTTTGGTAAGTTTGTCTAAAATTCTCTTTATCTTGTGAGGAGCCTAGATACTCAGCTAGGACCATTTTAGACAAATGTCTGATACATGGTCAAAGCCTGGTAAAGAACAGCTCATCTTGTTTTATTGCTGCATAATGTGGAGAAAGAACCTGTGACCTGGATCTTACCATAACCCTGTTGTGATCATCTGAAAGGAGAATTAGAAAAGAGCGGTGGAAGAAGCCCCTAGAAACCCCCATGTGAGCAGGAAAGGGTGTTGTTAAGCGATTCCTCAGAGATTGATGCTTATGCTACTCTTACAGCTCTTTAGGGAATAAAATGACCTCCCGTTTTCACTAGCCTAATTCAATGTCTGACAACTTCTCTCAGTCAGGAAGTTACTCCTTCTGTGTGGCTTAATTACCTATTGTTGCAGTTTCAATTTGGGGTGAAGGAAAGGATAGTGGCTCTGACTCTGGGATGCAGGGTCTGCTGAGAAACCGCCGGCTGGACACAAACAATCAAGTGTCAGTAATTGGTGCAGGCTGGGCTATGCGCCACTGAGATGTTGTGTCTTCTAGGCAGTGGTCCTCGGGGTCCCGGGCGCTCTGTGTGCATTTCCGGGGCCACCAGCATGGCCACCAGGATGGACTGCCACCAGGGGAGGTGGCAGTTACTGATGACCTAGAATAAATATTTGGCTTTGGACTCCCACCCACAATATAACCTAAACATGTTTACTCTTTCTCTGTACTTGCATGAGAGATTGCACCAGGAGAAGGGGTTCTGTAGATAAAAGAAAACTTTGAAACCAGGAGGTCAGTGTACCCAACAAGCCACACTGGGCAGCTGACTCTGTCGTTTCATGCCTCTGTTTCCTCGTGCTGCCTGAGTGAAAGTGGCAGTGTGTGTGTGTGTGTGTGTGTGTGTGTGTGTGTGTGTATGTGTGTGTTCCTTTGCTCACAGTGATGGTAGCAGGGGGAGGATAAATAATAAAATTTACGGGGAGATGAACTTTATGAATCCAAAACATAATTATTACGAGACTTTTACGTGTTTAGAGGAATACTCCTGATGGCCTAGCCTTGTGTGGGTGGCCCCTTGGAATTATAGGGGATTTTCATCCCTAGCCTGTATGATAGGGTGGCATGATCGAAGCCCAAGGTTGAGAGCAGAACCATTTGGCACGCCCTGGCCTAATGGAATAGGTTTGGAGGGATATTGACCAAAATAAAGGGGTGCATGCAGACTGTGCTCGGGAAGATTTACGTGCTCGGAGTGCTGTGCAGTAACGGGCTTGCGAGGCCCTCCCGCCAAGCACTGCCCCAGGCGGTGTCCAGGCAAGGCACTCAGTCTGCCCGAGCCCTACATCCTCGCCTCTCACAGCGACTGAGTAGCGTCCTGGTTTGTAGGGAGCGGCCGCCGAGGTGGGGCCTTGGAGCACCGGAAGATTCAGAAGGCAAGCCCTCCGCCAGCCTGACTCCAGGACTTGGCCTCGCTCCCTTCCCCTGAGTGTTGGCAGGAACAGGGAGCCTCACTCAGGACTGTGCGATTAGGGCACAGCTGTGGCCCAAAGTCGTGTTCAAATGGTGAGATTCCTGCCCATACTTGGTTGGAAATTCCAGATGGATTTAAATTTCTCTTTGGATTTGTCAATGGCTTTCCCTGCTGGGCCAGTTACTCGGATGGAAATGTTTAAGGTTATGCTGAGAACAGCCTTAATTATGTGTGATGTATTATCCTAGGCACTTTACATAGTTAGCTAACCTAATTCTTACAACCACCCTGGGGGGTTAAGTGGTGTCTTCTCCATTATACAGAGGAGGAATCTGAGGCTTAAAATGTATAATAACTGGTGGAGCTAGTGTTAGAATCTACCTGTGATTGATTTTTAGATGTGAGACAAGAGGAAACCAGATACCACCCTGCAAAGCTAAAAAAAAAACGGCCTGAAAGCAGCTTTATGTGTAGCAGATTTCCCTTAACACATAAACTCTCCCCCCCATTTCTGTAGTTGCTATCTCCCTCCCTCCCTCCCTCCCTTCTTCCCTCCCTTCCTCCCTCTCTCTCTCTCCTTCTCTCTCTCTCTCTCTCACACACACACACTCACTCACTCTTACTTACAATCGATCACAAAGACTTATTTCTCCAAACTGTTTGCTAAGCCAGAAGCAATTGGATCACTTGAAATGATGCACTGGTCGTCCCAGTTCCCTTTCCCTCTCACCTTGAACACCGATCACAGCGATCTGCAGCCTGTCCCTTTGCTGCTGAATGCTGTCGCTGTAAGTGCTCAGCACGCCCGAATGCATGAGTGAGTGATGGCTGGTGGTAGCAGCAGGGCCTGCCCGTGTGCCCACAGCACCCGTGGTCCTCTCTTCCCAGGGCGGCATGATCGCTCTGCTGCTGTCCATCTTGTGCCTGGTGATGATCCTGTACACTCGCCGGCGCTGGTGCAAGCGCCGCCGCGTCCCCCAGCCCCAGAAAAGTGCCAGCGCCGAGGCAGCCAATGAGATTCACTACATCCCCTCCGTGCTGATCGGCGGGCACGGGCGGGAGAGCCTGCGCAACGCCCGCGTGCAGGGCCACAACTCCAGCGGCACCCTGAGCATCAGGGAGACGCCCATCCTGGACGGCTATGAGTACGACATCACCGACCTGCGCCACCACCTGCAGCGGGAGTGCATGAACGGAGGGGAGGACTTCGCCAGCCAGGTCACCCGCACCCTCGACTCCCTGCAGGGCTGCAACGAGAAGGCAGGGATGGACCTCACTCCAGGTGGGATGGCAGAGGGTGAGGGGCGGGGTGGCAGCCCAGCCCTCTGTCTCGGAGCGGGGGCGTGGGTAGGAACAGCCGATTGTCCTGCACAGTGGGATGCACCAGAGCCCTCTTGGCGAGTAAGGACAACTTGTTTCCTGGGACAGTGGGAGGTGCTTCTGATCTCGAGCATCAGAAGAATAGTGTGAATTGGATCCCTTTCCACTTCTAGCACACATTGGGTGCAGAGATATGTTTACATCCAACAGAGGAGGTTTTTTGGTGTATGAAGAGCAACACTCTGGGAAATAAGCAGATAGCAAGAAAAATCAACATGTGTACAACTGTACAACTTATCTGTATATCGTGTATTTGCTTTGGCAATTTGATTCTCACATGAAGTGGAGGGGACAGTGGTATCTGGTTTTTTCTATGACTTCTGAGAGTTGGGCCTGGGGTATTTTAGTTGTGTTATCTTGCCTATATTTCTGTGGTCTCTACAAGGGATGTGCTTCTTTAAAGAAAAAATGAAGGATTGCAACCAAGGTATCAGATCTCAGAACACTGTGTATCTGTGGAGACACTGGCTGGAAGAGACTTGACCTAATCTTGCTGAACAAGACCAGGGTTAAAAATGCAGAGAGAGGACTATTCTTTTACAGTAGCCCACCTGTCTCTCTTTCAAACCTCTATGAATAAGCAAATCCCCTTAGATGAATCCTTGACAGCGATTCTTCAAAGAACTGCCCAATTATCTTTAAAGAAGACATGTATGATGCTGGACGTTGCTTAAGGTAGATGGATTTTCCATGGGGCTTGAAAGAATGGGATCACACAGAGGTTTCCATTCTGCTAGTTATCTGGAAGAGAGTATGAATAGCCAATTCCTACTAAGATTTAAAGTCTGGAACTCCTTGAGAATAGGGGAGATATTTGGTACTCAGAGGTTACCAACTCCAAATGCCTTTAGGTGGCAGACAGACAACACAAATTGTGAAGCTGGGGTCAGACAATAGGGAATGGTGTTGACTGCGATGAAAAAGAGAGGGCATGTTCTGCCTGAATGCACTCAGATTCCACTTCTTTTAAAACCCCGTGCTGACCAGAAGAAATAAATCTGCAGTCTGTATTTAGCCAACGGGTTACAAGTGGTGACCTTATCAATACATAATTAATTGAACTGGATTTTCGGTTGTAAATCCAGTGACTTCACTGAATCCCTGACTTCACTGCTTCTCCCATAACTTTACAGTCCCCTAGAAATCAAAGAGGAGTATTTCAGTTTCTTCCTGCCAGTCTCTCACTTTGCAGGTTCCTTATTTCAATTCTGTGAAGCCTCATCTATTGGGTTCATGCTGATTTTCTTGCTCTTACTTTCTCTGGTTTTTTTTTCTCTTAAAGTCTTTGCCTTGACTTTTCCTTATACAGGCAGTGACAATGCCAAGCTGTCGCTGATGAACAAGTATAAAGATAACATTATTGCCACTAGCCCAGTGGACTCCAACCACCAGCAGGCCACCCTGCTGTCTCACACCTCCAGTAGTCAGAGGAAGCGGATCAACAACAAAGCAAGAGGTATGCTTGTCTGATGGAGGGCTTGCAGGTGGATTTCTTAATCGGCAGAGACGGGGCCATTAATACTCCTTATGCATGGCTAGAGGGCTATGCTCTGGCATAGTCTTCCTGCAGCCCAGTTAACTGCTACTTACCAAAAATTTAAATGTGCAAAACTTATGACCAAGTAATTTCACCAACAAGAATTTATCCTTAGGAAATAATTGGACAAGTGTGCAAAGAAGTGTGTAAAAGGCTGTTCATCACAACATTGTTTAAACAAACGAAAAATTGGAAACAGCTTAAATGTCCATCTACAGGGAGTTGGTTGACTATCTGGCACCTCTGTCTGCTGTCCAGAGGCTCACTGTACGGCCATTTGAAGTGATAATGCAGATCTATATTTGGTGATATGGAAACTTGCCCACCCATCTATTAAATGGGAAAAAATGAGGTTATAAAATAGAAGGTACAGCATAATGTCATTTTAAGGGGGGATTAAAAATCCTTTACCTGTGTCTGTATCAGAAAAAGACAGGGAGTGTATATAACAAATATTAACAGAGTTTTTCTCAGTTTTAAGGGATTCAAAGGACATGAGGTTGTTCCCTTCCCACGTATCTATGTATTTTCTTTATTCTCTTCTTTTTGCATTAAATATATATATATATATATTAATTCTAGAACCCCCCCAAATTCATAAAAATGTAATATCCTGCACCTCTTAAAACATAATTTAAACCTCATCTTAACAGAATCATAGCCTGTAATGGAGGAAATTTCTCTTTCTTCCTTTTCCAGCCACCCTCCACAGGGGTCTCCTTGGGTGGGTAGGTGTGAGAAATGGCCCTGGTCAGCGGGAGGTGGCCAAGTGGGCCGGGCTCCAGTGATTGCTGTCATAAGGGTCTACTTTCCAAACAAATTGTGTGTGAGGGGAACCCAGTCCCTTTGGCTACTTCTCCCAGACTGCCAGTCTACTTGCTCTCATTTTTATCGAGATTTTCTGTTGGGCTTGCCCAATGCTTTGGTGTTATGAAGACAACACTGAAAATGCTGTCTTGGCCGTGCTCCTTCCCGCTACAGCTGGTTCCGCCTTCCTGAACCCTGAAGGGGACTCTAGCACAGAGGCAGAAAATGACCCCCAGCTGACCTTTTACACAGACCCCTCAAGGAGCCGGAGGCGCAGCAGAGGTAGGAAGGATGGTGGGGCAGGAGGGAGTGATGGGTCTGGGGACAGGGGAGGCTGGGGTTGCAGGCTCTGTGGATCAAAGCCAGTTTCTGCAGGACGAATTCTTGGACCATACCTGGAGCTTCCTCCTAAGGAAGAAAGAAGAACCTAGAGTGGAAATCTTCAGAGAATCATCTCTCCCAGATAATGGCACTCTCAAACAAGGTTCCGAGTTGTTTGAAAGGCTATTTCTTGGTCAGAAGATTCTCAATTCCTTCTGGAAGCCTCAAGAGTCATATTTTGCTGTTTAGACAAAGGAAATAAAGTTGATGAAGTGTGTCATGTGAAAAAAATGGATAGCATATGTACCCCTTGCCTTCTCAGCCACATGGGCCTTGGGATTGAGCTAGGCAAGCGTGGGAGCAGGTAGTTTGGGGATGGTCTGCGGCCTGACAATATGTGTGATTGCCTTTGACCTCTACACCCCTGCCTGGCAGAGCTGCAGGACCCTAAGCCTCCACGTCCCCCCCCCTCCTGCAGGTTTGGGTAGCTAGTCCATCCTCCCCAGCATGGCAGAGCTGCCCTTCTGCACAGCTACTGTCTGGGCCTCTCCACTCCTGTCCAGTGGCTTCAGGTGTGGCCGTGGCACCTGCAGCTGCCACTACCCGTGATTCTGCTGCTGTCACCATCATCGCAGAGGAAGTTCTGGGTTTACGCACTGACTGGCTTCACCAGTTACTTGCTATGTTATATTGGATCAGGAAAACAAATTCTCTGAGCCTAGTTCTTTCACACATTAAGAGAGTTAACAATAGCTCACGCACAGGGCTAAATCAGGATTAAATTATATTAAAATGTGCCTTTTTAGGTGGCTGCTAAAGCACTGTGAAATTCCTGCTATTGTTGCTGCTAGAACTCTCTGTGGTGCAGCCTCAGGTTTCTACAGCGCCTGTCTAGAAGAATTCTGGACAGAGTCCCTTAAAATATAGTGTGGGACATCTGAGTGGCATCACCTTATACTACATTCAGTAGCATTTCCTTCAACCAAGAGTCAACCAATGCTCCCCCGAAGACACAGGCCTTTTGGCTGTCTCCTGCCCCACTGGAGCTCCCTTCACACCAGTGTGTTCTTCCTAGAAACGGGAAGAAGCCCTTTTGGTTGTATATTCTAGTTTCTACAGCCTTCACTGCTTTCAGTATAATACGAGTTCTTTCCACCACTTTCCCCAAGAGATCAGTGGGGCTCTGGGCATTCTGATGTCTGATGCCCCAGTTTTCTTGAAGTGAGATGTGGATTAGGGTCTCTCTCCCCGTCTCCTTTGATACTCTTTGCATGTTTATAGACAGCAGGTACTCGACGCAGGGCAGCCTAGGCCTTATCAAAGCAGGGTGTGTCCTGCTTTCATAAAGTCTTGTTTAAGAAAATCCATGCTAAGGAATTAGAATGAGTTTCTTTACAGCATAAAACTGTTTCTTTTAAATACCAAGCTTTCCTAAGACATCAACTGTTTATTGCTATTAACCAAACTGGAGGCTTCTTAGGGATGGGGCCTGCCTAATTTATTTTTCCAAAGTGCCTAGTGTAGGATTTTGCATTATAGTAGATGCTTGTGTTTGTTAAATTGGACTGGATATGTCCATCAGACCAGCAAAAACATTTTATACCCCCCTGCTACAGGTAAGGCTCTGTGATAAGTTGGTAGAAACATGTAAACATGGCACGGTGATAAGGCTTAATTTAATAATATAAATAAAATGAGTACTCAGAAGAGAGGCCAGATCATTCTACCTGACAGCAATAGGAAGCATAAAAAAAGAAAAGAATTAGAAATGGGTTATATATAAAGTGTAGGATTTCTTGAAAGAGGAGATGTCTAGGCATTTCAGTAAAGGGAAATAGCACATGAAAAGCCTTGAATGCATAAAAGAACATGGTGTTTTCAAGGAAGTAAAAGTGGTTGAACATGGCAACTGACATCCAGAATATAAGTACGTAAGCACCCACAGATGATAGGGTACAGCTAGAGAATGGGCCAGCTAGCAAGGGACACACACAGGCCGCACGTCTGAGTCTGCCCTTGCTTCTGTGGGTGGGAGGGAACCACACAGGTTCTGAAGCCAGTCAGAGATGCTGGGTTATGGGTTAGTGATGCAGAAAGACCACAGAGACAGGAATATCGGCAGCAAATTATTGCAATCACACGGGCGGCAATTGCCCCTAAAGAGTGACGACATGTGATAAGAGCTGTAACAGCAGGGTGCACAGAGGGCTAGAAGAACACCAAAGAATAGTGAGAATCTATTCTTGAAGGTTTCAGGGACGTGTTTACAGGGAGATGTTGTCTGAGCTGAGATGTGAAGAGTAGGTGTGTACCAGGCTGACAAGGTGACAAAATGGCCTTCTGTGGAGGAGGAAATAATATGTGCAAAGTCACTGAGACAAACGATGATGGTCTAGTCAGGGAGCAGTAAAAGGTTTACTAGAATAAAGCTTAGGGTGCGAGCTTGTGGGTTGCGTAGGAAATAAGGCTGGAAGATCAGCAGAAGCCAGAAAGGACATGGCCTTGACTGCAAGGGACTTGGACCTGATGCCTAGCTGGAGTCAATAAAGCTTTTAAAGAGAGTTGTCCTTGTCTACTCTGCCTCGTGAAGGGACCCTCTGGGGCAGCGTGCAGGGCAGGAGACAGTGGGCGAGGCTGAGGCAGGGAGACGGGTGGATGGCTGCTGCTGCAGTCCAGGTGTGAGATGACAGGGGTTAGGTATGGATGGAGACAATGGAGGCCAGAGAAACTTTGGATGCAAAATGAAAAAATGTAACAGCATCAGTGGGGGGTTGGTGCAGGGGCTGTGTGGCTTGTGAACAAGAAGGAAGAGTCAGGCATGGTGGAGTCCTCTGACTTGAGAAACCAAGTAGGTGGCAGTGCCACTCTCAGGGCCATGGAAGGAGGAGGGGAGCAGGGCTTGAGAGCAGGTGGCCAGTCCAGTTTCAGATATGCTGCTTCTGACTGCCTGCGGGATGTTCCGGTGGTGGATTTGCTGCCGAGGCCTGGGCAGGGCCGGGGATGTTCCGGTGGTGGATTTGCTGCCGAGGCCTGGGCAGGGCCGGGGATGTTCCGGTGGTGGATTTGCTGCCGAGGCCTGGGCAGGGCCGGGGATGTTCCGGTGGTGGATTTGCTGCCGAGGCCTGGGCAGGGCCGGAGGTCCGTGCGTGTGGGAGAGACTCCACTATGAAAGGGTGGTGACAGGCACAGAATATTCCCCGGCAGCACAGAGGGGGACTCCGAGGCTATCTTCTGTCCTCCAGTCTCTCTCTCCCAGCTAATGCCAACACACACCCCCGTAGGACCCTGCTCCCTTAAAGGAGGGGTGCAGCCATGAACCCAAAGCTCATTCTGGAATGAAAACAGGAGTTCCAAAGGCTCCACTGGGCGCAAAGGCTGAATAGGGTGTGGTTCCTGCGGGCCGTAGCCCGACTGCACCTGCGTTCTGGTCCCAGCTCCATTCCTTAGTGGCCGCTTGGCCCTAGACCTGCCCTACAGCCTCTCTGTCCCCCTGTTGCTCTAGGTCCCTGCCTTCTAAGGCTGGCGCCGTCGTTCTATGATGTGAGCCGTGCAGTGCCCTGAGCACCGGTGCCTGGCGTGGTCACCGCCTCATACGTGTTAACTGTCACAATGAGCTTCACCTCGGGAACTTATTTTCCTTATCTGTAAAGTGGGTAGTTACTAGATCGACTCATGGGTTTATTGGAAACAAACAACTATTAAAAATAAAACAATGTATGTAAAGCACTTAGCACAGTGCTTTACAGCTTTTAGTATTATCAGTGATAAATGCTAACAGAGAGCCCGCACACTTGGTCGCCTTGCTTTCGTAGCATCTGTTCTGCCTCCATAAGCATAAGGTCCTTCTGCTAACTATCATTTTAAACTCTTCCCCACATAACAACAAACAAAACCTGAATAGCCAAACAAAAAACACCCCAACCCCCCAAACAGGCACACAAGCCAACCCTTCCCTCCTGGTCCCTGTCTCCACTTTCCTGGGACTGCTTCCCTTTCCCAGCGAGGATCATTTCCTCCGGCAGTTGCGGGGCTTGGAGCGGTTCCGGCGTGACGGACTGTCCCCTCGTCCCAGGCCCCGCAGAGCAGGTGCTCGGGCGCTCGGCAGGGCCTCGCACTGGAGCGGGAGCCTCCAGCTCAGGGAGTCCCTGCAGGGCGGCAGCTCCGCTGGGAGCACAGTGGGCGCTGTGGGCGCGCCCCTGTGCACAGCCGAGGGAAGCCCCACGGCGTGCGGCTAGGGCGTTCCCACCTCCTTGGAAGAGCGGGGGCTGGGTGAGGAGAGGAGAGAGAGAGGATGCCTCCTGCTGTGGTTTCTCCTGTGAACCTGGCCCGGGAAGAGTGACAGTGATCAACACACCATTGTTGACCCTGAAGACCATCAGTTGGCCAAATCCTCTCTGACTCCAACTGATGACATGGTGTCCATGAGGATGAAGGTCACTGAGGTCACACAGCCAGAGACGTTTCCCACCGTGGGCTAAATGTGCCAACTGCCTCCCCTGTATGCCAGGTTGGGCAACAAAAGGCCAAGGTGGACTCTCGATGCCAAGATTTTTACCACCATGTATGTGTCTTGTTTGTGTCTTGCTTCCAGTGGGTTCTCCCCGAAGTCCTGTGAATAAGACCACCTTGACCCTGATCAGCATCACTAGCTGTGTGATCGGCCTCGTGTGCTCCTCTCATGTCAGCTGCCCTCTTGTTGTCAAGATCACCCTGCACGTCCCTGAGCACCTGATCGCTGATGGTGAGTCCCTTCTTCCGGGGATGCCACCGTCTCCCCTAGAAAGGAAGGTATTCAGGTTGGGCAAAGATTAGAAAGCCAGTAGTCACTGTTGCCTGTTACTATAGTTGGGGGAAAACTAAATTCAAATAAGCAAGGGTTAAGGCAAGATTGGATTGCCCACAGATGAACTCAGAAAGCAGGCTAAAAATAAGCTGAAGAGATCACCTCCTCTTCTCTGTGCTCACTCTCATCCTTGTTTATTTTTAAATAAACCCCTGTCTTTGTAGAGAAATGCAGAGCATACTGGCTACAGGTAGGTGAACACCAAGATTCTTTTAGCCTTTGGGAAGAGAAAAGCTATGTGGAGTAGTAGAGGTGTTTAAGGATTAGCCATGCTTCGGTTTGGTGTGCCTGGGTGAGAAATTCCTAATTGCAGTAACTTGCTGTAAGCCTAGAACTCAGAAGTAATAATTTACTTTCATCCAGGGGGACCCCAATATAGTGAGGGAGTGAAATAGGTCTGAGAGTCCCTGAATCATGTAAGCCCAGAGCACCTAATTGACTTGTTAATGTCTGTTCTCCCGGTCGCTGTCAGAGTGGAAACAGGCAGTGCTGCTCCTGCAGCCTAGAGGGCTGCCATTCTTACCGCACATGAAGACAGGCGGGCGGGCGGGGCTGTTCCTTGGATGAGTGCCAGTGCTTGTGGCGGGGTCTGATGCAGCCGTGCCATGCCAGACCACCACAGAGCCACTCTGTCCCTGAGTCCCTTAAGAACACCCTGGGGAGACGGGATGGGGGAAGGTGTGGCTGGGGCGTGATGTCTTTTTCGGCAGTTCAGGTGATGGCCAAGCCTTCGGCTGATCTCTCACTTTGGGGCTAATGCCAGGGAGGACTGGTGGGAGCAATGGTCTTGGGTTGGGACTGATCCTCAGGCGGGATTCCCTCCGTGCTCAGTGCCCGTGCACGTGTGCTGTGCACACACAGGCATCCTTCCTCTCTCCCTGCAGGGAGTCGCTTCATCTTGCTGGAGGGGAGTCAGCTGGATGCCAGCGACTGGCTGAACCCTGCCCAGGTGGTTCTCTTCTCCCAGCAGAACTCCAGTGGGCCCTGGGCCGTGGACCTCTGTGCCCGGAGGCTCCTGGACCCCTGCGAACACCAGTGTGACCCCGAAACTGGTAGGCGGGAGCGCCGGGCCGCGGGTAACTGTCAGCGAGATCGTGCCTCTTGCAGCCACTCCCTTGAAGCTCAGACCGTCCGTCCCAACCCCACCGTCCCATCGCCATCTCGAGCCTCGGCCGTGCAGGCGACCTGAGCTTGTTGGCCAACACCGTGTGCTCATTTTCTGACCCTAAGTGTAGCCCGAGTTGAGGGCTGGTTTAGGAGGGCCTCCATAGCCTGTGCGTCCTCCGTGGTGGATGTTTAGCTACTGGGGCAAGACACTTTATGATTATAAAGTTAATGCATGTTTATTGCAGAAAATTTGGGAAATTTGGAAAAGCTTATAGAAGAAAATGATAATAATCTATATTTCTAGCTCCTGGATAAATCACTTTTAAAATTTTAATATCCTCCCTTTCGATCTCTTTTTTATGAATGATGTTTAGAGGCTTCCTGAAGCATACCAAGTCTGGTGGAGTTTCCCTGCTTTTTTCACCTAACATTCCATCATGACAGTTTTCCAGACTCATTAAATAATCCTCAACAACATAATTTTATGGCCTTTTGTTATTCCATTATATGTCTATATCATAGCTCATTTAAACAGTCCCCTGTTATTTGACATTTAGGATGCTTTAAAGTTTTAATTTTTATGAATACTATTAAAATGAACATCTTTATACATAAATGCAGGGCACATTTGAAGTTATTCAGATAAATCTTAGAGAGAAATTGCTGGGTCAAAGAGTATGAACATCTTTGAGTCTATTACACTATCAAATGGGGCTGGAGCTTCTCTGAGTAAGGGTCCAAATCCAGGTATGGCATGACTTAGAGCACTTGCTTTGCTCCTTTAGTTCCAACATAGCCAGAAGGACAGATCTCTTAGTTCAAGTTGCTTGGCACTTTCACCGTAGAAGGTGTTCATCTGCAGCAGTCTCTACCATGACCTGTTTTCAGTAAATTGAGTGCCATAGACACTTCCCAGAGAAGCAGTATGATGTCTCAGAGCAAAGGAAAGAGATAAAGTGATATCTAAGACCCCCAAGCAAAATGCTTCAGAGTTAGAGGCTAACTCCTCAAGATTTTTGTATGTCACGTGCAGCCCCCCTTCCCACCACACACACACACACACACACACACACACACGCACACACACGCACACACACACGCACGGGCGCACACGCACACACATGCACATCTTCAGGCACCAAGGTAGAGGGATCTTATTAGAAGATGAGTCCTTACTTCTGTTATAATCCTTTACTAAATCTGTTTGTGAGAGTAACAGGTAACTGCAACATCTAGAGTTCATTTTCTTAGGTCTTAAATTTGTTTTACGTGGGCCTATCACAGAGATTCTCAGCCCCCGTATGGAGGAGAAAGTACAACATTTTAAACATCTGATGTCTAAGACTGCTTACTTGCTTGCTCCTCCCACGCTGTCAGGCAAACACCAAACCAAACAGATGGGCTGTGTACCATGCCTGAAAGCTAGTTTGCTCAAGAGAAATTAGAAAGAGCTAATCTCAGAGGTGAAGGCCTCCATGCAACTGAGTTAGTCTCTTTTACCCTACTTCTCCAACTGGCTTGGATTAGAAGGATTTGGGACAGTCTCAGTTGTTAAACTCACTTCTGAGAGAAGCATTATCTCCAAAGGACCTTGGATACTTCTACTTGGGTTTAAAGGACAGAAAGTGCCTCCAATTCCATGTGGAAAGAAGGGATTGGTGTTTTATGCTTCGAGGGGTCTTAGTGATAACTGCTTCCTTACTTAAGATTAGCATTTAAAATCCTCAAGAAGTTACATGACTTGTCCAAAGTCCCACAGCTACCTGAAGCAGGGTCTGTATTCTATCTGTGCTGAAATCAGAGCAGGGCTGGATTACAAAAGTTTGCTTGATTTCTCCCGATTTATCAGATCCAACGTATTTGCCATTCAAAACTGTGCAAGCAACAAGCAATACTGGACGCTGCTGTCCCACGTGCTAGGAAGCTGCCTGCCCAGAGCGGTGCTCTCCCACAGCTCTTCAGTCCCTTCCAGGTGTCTCATTTCTGGTCCTTGCTGAAAATGACTTTGGAAGGCCCCTCCCCTCCTAATGCACCCCGCCCCCCGTGTCTGTGGCAGCTAATGAGATTCCAACTGGAAAGCCACAGAGGAAGACTGAAAATAAGAGCCCAGACCCCACAGCAAGACTAAGGTGCAACATCTTCATTTTGGCTGACAGCTGAGAAACAATGCTGCAAATACTTTTATTTTCATGAATGCTAGAATTGGAAACCCCCCCCCCCGCTTCTTTCCGCACAAGGGCTGATGTGGTCACCCACACACTCATCAGCAAGAAACTGTCGCCTCCCACGCCCCGGCCTAGAGCCTTTCTCCAAAGAGCTGAGTGTGGGAACTGGCTTCAAGTCAAGGCGACATTATTTTTGCAGTTCTCCAGCTAGCTTCCTTGGAAATGTCATAGTGTTGGGACACGTACTTTCCCAGCCACGCTGAGGGGTCTGCCCATATGGATGCGTGGAGCTGTGCAAGTGCACTTGTATACTTTTACACACACCGCACAAGTGCATAGACACACAAACAACGCACAGGCACGGATGCTCGGCCGCTGCAAAGGAGCTGCGTCTGGTGTGGGCAGAGCCTCCTCGGGCGTCCTTGCTACGAGCACTCCAAGCTGAGCTCGAGTTCACCCGTCACCTGCACAGCGCTCCGGAACGCCAGGTGTAGGAGACAGAATAATGGACTCCCAAAGATGTCCACATTCCCATCTCCGCAACCCATGAGTGGGTCACGCTCCCTGGCGAGGGAGAGTTATGGTTGTGAGTGGAATGGAGGTCGCCAACAGCTGGCTTTCAAATAGGAAGAGGGTCTGGGGGATTATCGGATGTGCCGATGTAATCATAAGGGCTCCTAAAGTGGAAGAGGGGGACAGACGAGGGGCTCAGGCTGGTGGGACGCGAAGGACTGGGGCAGCCATCACAGGTGTGAGTGTGGGGAAGAAGGCGTGAGCCTAGGAATGTGGGCAGCTTCTAGAAGCCGGAAGGGGCAAGGAAATAGATTCTACCTTGGCGCCTCCACAGAGAAGCGTGGCCCGACAGACACCTCGCTTTCTGCCCAGTGAAACCCGTGTCACACTTCTGGCCTGCAGAACTGTAAGATAAATTTATGCTGTTTTAAACCATTAAGTTTGTGGTAATTTTTTAAACTGCAGCAATAGGAAAAACTAACACACTAAGGAAGGAGAGAAAGACAAAGAGAGAAAGAACAAGCATTGCTCTGCTCCCTCTTCGCATCTGATGGCCCGATTTATAGACCGTCCAAAGAGGGGCCGGAAAGCCATGGAAGAGCTGGAGCTGGAGGAACCCTGCTGCCTGTTTTCCGCTCCAGCCTCCCTCTCCACTGTGTTCTAGCAGTGCGCTACCTGGGGGTGCAATGTGCCTAGAGCTCCCAGCCCAGCACCTGGAATATAGTAAGCACTAGCAAATGTTCTTCTAATCATCAAGGGTCCCGATTTCCTGATTTGGATTTGGATGTACCTGAGAAATGGTAGACTTGAACTCCAGGGTTGATCTGCCTTTTCCAACCTTCCTGAACTCTGTGACCCTCTTGTAACAGTGCTGGACCTAGACAGGCTGTGTGCTAGCATTTGGTGGTGTGCAAACTCAAGACGCCGCACGTGGGTTAGGTTCGCCCGCTGGCGGCTTCAGAAAGCATCCTGTGTTCCAGCTCCACAGCGCCCTTCCAGGCAGGGCAAGCCAGGGGAAGCCAGGGGGAAATGTGTGGAAAATGGTTTTCAGTAAAAATAAGGATGAGTAGTATTTATTGAGAGCTCACTATGTGCCAAGCACGGAACTTTAAATTATGTAATTGAAGCGTCATAGTAACACTGTGAAGACCACACTGCATTGATACCCGTCTTACAGAGATGCTGACAAATTTGCCCAAGGTCACTTGCCTCGTTAATGGCCCAGCCGGACTCACACCCAGGCTGCCCGACTCAGAACTCGCCCTCCTGATCCCTGCGCAAGCCCACCCCATTGCTCCAGCTTCAGGAAGGGAACGGCTGCAAGGCCGAGGACCGTCGTGCTTGCGAGTGGCTGCGGCAGAGCCCAGCCCCTGATGAAGCCTTTGCCAGCGGCACGCTGACATTCTCTCCCAGGCCCTCCCAGGTTTGTAGCCCCAGGTGTCTCTGGTCAAGTTGGGCCAACAGCAGAGCATTAGGCCGTGTGGCCTAGAGCCCACTGGACTCAGCCAGAGGTTGACTTTTCCTGCACTTTCTAGGGGTTGTTGCTGTGGTTGTATGATTATGTGATTGCTTTGTCTTCTGATGGAAACCAGACTGCCTGGTTTCCGCGCCTTGTCCGCCACCACTCCTGGCCTTTGTTCTGCCACACGGGCAGCTGCAGAGGTCCGTGCACCCGCTCCATCTCACGGCCCTCAGCAGTCCTGGCCACACACCCTCGTTGCCCTTTTCAAGATACGTGGCTTATGTGGTTCTGCAAAAAGCACAGGCTTTCAAGCTAAATTAAGTTTTAATCTCCATCCGAGATGTTCACTGAGATCCCTTCTGTCCCAGGTCTTTCCACAGGCTGGAGCCAACCATGTGGACATGTGTGAACCTGTTGAGGGGCATCAGACCCACGTCCCGACTCAATCCAGCCCTCTTCCCCTTTGCCTGTCTCTGAACCACTGCCTCTTTCTAACCTTCCCTGGGCTTTGAACCTGCTTTGGCAGGGTAGCTCAGGCCTCATTTAGCTCCTGCCACCTGGACTGCCCACTCATTCCAGACTCACCCTGTGACTCTATTTCAGCCCCTTCCTTCAGGATATACTTTTGGCACCTGTCCTCCGTCTTTCCTCCCAGAGTCGTGGGGGCTGTTGGATCCTGGACCTGCCATTTGCCTGATGTCTCCACAGGGGAGAGAGACCAGGCGGTTAGATACTGCGGAGTCCAGGTGTCTCACAGAGACTTTCCTTTTTAGATGGAGCACACCCAATTCTGTTTAGTAAAAGCCAGCCACCCCTTGAAGTGTAGAGGTGACTCCAGGCTTTTAGGCTCGGCCTGCATTTACCTGATGAGGAACGTGCAATGAGCCCAGTCGTGTCTGAGGGGCCCTAGTTTCAAGGTCTTTAATCCTTGGAGGAGATTTGTGCCTTGGCCCTCAGCTGTAGAACGGGGAATGACCAAAGGCATCGGACAAAGTCCCTCGAGGCGTTTGCCCTCAGGCACCAAGCACAAATCAAGCTGGCTGTCTAGAGACCTGCACGGACCACCTCTGAGGGCTCTTCTCTCTGGCAGGCCGCCGCCCCCGTGCCTCCTGCAGGGCACACTCTGTCCTGGCCGGGCACTGCTCCGTGCCATGACCCGCCGTCTCTCCGTTGGATTCCTATGTACAGCAGCACACAGTCGGCGCCTCATGTGTTCCCCGCCATCTGCCGCAGCAGATGCGGAGACTGCAACGCTTCCAGCTTAGGAGGGCATCCAACACCCTCGTGGGGTCTTTAAAATTCACAGCTAACAGTCGGAGCCTGTGCTTGCATGAAACCCCTCTTAACGTCAAGATTTAGCAGTTGGTTGCCATGGCAACTTTCCTCATCAAGTCTGAACTCCTTTCAGTGTAGATGGCCAAACCAGCTTTCTGGAGGAATGCAGACAAGGGGAGCTTGGTGGGTCCCGGAAGTGAGGATGCTTTGAGAGGCAATTTTTGGATATTCCTGAACTCTAGCATGATGTGTTTGAAAATGTCTCTGTTTCTCGGACTTTGGGCAGCATACACCATTCTGTGGAGAAAAGCTTTATCTGTGGTTGGCGTGTGACCCACACAGTACCGGACGACGGCCCCGTAAGGCCATAATGGCTGCAAGGCAACTTGAGAAGGAAAAGGCGCCATGCACATGGCGGCTAGGGCCACCGTTAGGGAAGTGAGGCTCCGCTTGAACTCCTGGAGTTGTTACTGCGTTGTTTTTCACACGTTCTGTGGTAACTTGCTATCAAATGTGGAAGAGGACTCCCTTTTTGGTCAATCCTTAATTCTAGGCAGGGTGTCCAGCCGAAACCATTTTAAGAGGCCGCGTGATGGGTTTGACAACCTCCTGAGATTGCTCACTGCTTTTTAAAGCACATTGCCCATGGCTAATTGTCCAAGGACACTCAGGACAACATCTTCTAAGGGAGAAGTGTCTCTGAGCCCTGGACCTACTCGTTGGCTTAGACATCTGCATCTTGGGAGCAGGGCGGGCGGTGCTATCTGTACATTTAGGGCAAACTCTCTAATCAATCAATTTACTTTCCGTTGCCCAGCACCTGTCAAAGGCCTGCTCCTGGGGAAACTGGTAGTCTCCCGTGTGACCGAGAGTCTGGGTCCGGCGTTCTCTGGAACTGAGAAGCTATGAAGCCAGGCTCCCAGCACTTCCTTCTCTTGCCTTCCTGTACTTGCCTTTTTTACCTTTCCTTTTATCAGAGAAATAGCCTTTGTCCGCAAGCCATATCAGCCGCCTAATTTCAAGCTGTGTCTTTCTATGTTTGACTCAGAGCTCCCTGGCCACTTCTAGATATAGCTCAGCACCACGGAAACCAGTAAATTTGAATCTATTGTGGATCCGGTCCATGCGGATGCCAGAATTCCCATACAGGAGGCAATGTCCTGATCTAATACTCCCTTAATTCCTCATAAATTAAGAAGTTACCCACTACTCTCCACTCCGTCGCACACTGAGCTGAGCAGGTTGGGGGATGGACGTGAGCGTGACCCGGTCAGGGAGGCTCTGAGGGACAGTAGCTTACAGGTCAGTCTTGAAACGAGTGGCTAAGCCAAGATGCTAAAACAAGCCCCTTGCTCAGACCCATCCGGTCTTAACTGTGAGGCCCCTTCACTTCATTTGTATTGGGTTTTAGGAAAGAGAAAATACTACTCAAAGCTATTATTCTGTATCCTTTCTAAGTGTCTCTTCCTTGAAAGAGAATGAAATGGTATGTCCATTGTCTCCTTAGACGTGGCACCTTTGTTATTTACAAATTTCTCTAAGTCACATTCTGTTCTTTCGCTAGTTATAAATTAAATAATCAGATGTTAAAAGAGTGAAAACCAGTGCTTTAATGTAACTGGACCTAGTAGTCTGGGGATATATAGCATTGCACAAGGAAGTAGCAACAATATTCCTTAAGATCTGTACTAAATAGACCAATGGGTTAACCTTTTAGGGATCTTGAATTTGCTTGTAAATTAGATGAATTTTATGGAACCCTGCTTCAGAAAAATGCATATGCACACATGTACAGTTTTATATGCAATTCTAGAGGGTTCATGGACCTCTTTGCATACCAGTGGAGTAACCAATGACAATGAAGCATAGTAATATCCCAAACGAATGTAGAATTGTAGAGATGCTTCTGTTTACCCGCTCCATGATAATTAGCCATTTTCACTTAAAAGCTAAAACCCAGAGTTCCTATAAAACAGTAATAGGTGTAAGTGGCTTCCTCTAAATATAGCAGCTGTTCTGTGGGCCAGTAGCATGGCCTGGCAGGTAAAACAGACACACCTAGTTTCAAATATTAACTCAGCCACTTACAAGCTATCAGCAAGTACTTCAAGTTTTCCAAGTCTCAGCTTTCCTCCTCAGCATAACATAGCTCGTAATACCTACTTTTCAAGATTCCTGGAAATATTTGATGAAATAACTCACTTATGCAGTCTGTAAACACTATTGATCATCTGCTGTGTGCCTTGTAGTATACTGGGCATTGAGAAAATAGAGATGAAAATGTCACTTCCTTCAAAGAATTGTTGGTCTTTATGCTTACAGACCACATACAATAGGTGCTTTCTAAAGATGCGTTTCCTCCTCTGGTGAAAATAATCACATCCTGGAAAATGGAGGGATTGGTGGGTGAGTTCACCATGTAGGGGGTGGAGAGGGGAGTAGAGGACAAAATGGGACTTACTGTCTCATTCATGCCACTAGCAGGGTCTGAGTTCAATCTGGCCATCACGTTAATGTTCTCAAACGCAGATATGTTGCTCCACTCATTCATGTTTCTCTTTCTTCCTCCTTACCCTCCTTCTAAGGGGAATGCCTCTGCTACGAAGGTTACATGAAGGATCCCGTCCACAAGCACCTTTGCATCCGCAATGAATGGGGGACCAACCAGGGGTAAGTGAGGGGATGGCAAGTGAGACGGTTGGCACACGTCACTGCTCCTACACGGACGTGGCACGAGCAGCTGCTTGGAGAGGAGCAGAGCTCAAGGGCGGCTGTATTCTGAACAGTCAGTGGGTGAAAATGTCACTGTGCCTTTCCATATTTATACCATTCCAATGACGTCTGCATCATTTTCTCCACTTGCGAGTCCAGAGATGATGCCTCTGACTCGCAGCCCCGCAGCCCCAGCCGGGATCTGCAAATCAAGCTGTCCCTCTCTTCCTTTTCACACTGCTGCCAACCACAAGGATCCCACAGGCAGAATATAGCTGGTGATTTTGTTGGAGACACACAAAAGCCACATGGCCTCCAGTGTGGGTCTCCCAGAGCCTGATGAGCTTTGCGAGACTGATGTGAGCAGAAACTTGTTTTTACCAGGACTGTCAGCAGGGGTGACATGTGAGGACTGGGGAAATTGGAGATCAGGCAGAAATACTCTTTTCCTCAACACAGAGCAGCTCTGTGTTGAGGAAAAGAGTATTTCTGCCTGATCTCCAATTTCCATTTCCCTGTATGAGCTTTGCTTTCCCCCAGGCACACATGATTGGGTAAAGTAGTTACCCTCATTCCTTTTTCACTTTTTACATTTTGGAATGTATTTATTGGGATAAAACACACATAACATAAAATTTACCATTTTCACCATTTTAAGTGTGTAATTCAGTGGCATTAGTACATTCACATTGTTGTGCAACTGCCACCACTATCCACCCTCCACTGCTGGTTTTTTTTTTTTTTTTTTTTTAAGCCAGAGTCTCATTCTGTCACCCAGGCAGGAGTCCAGTGGTGTCATCATAGCTCTGCAACCTCACACTCCTGGGATCAAGTGATCCTCCTGCCTTTCGTGCCTCAGCCTCCCAAACAGCTGGAGCTACAGATGCTCCCCACCACACCTGGCTAATTTTTCTACTCTTTGTAGAGATGGGGTTTTGCTCTTGCTCAGACTGATCTCAAACTCCTGGTCTCAAGTGAGACTTCTGCCTCAGCCTCCCAAAGTGCTAGGATTATTGTCGTGAGCCACCATGCCCAGCCCTTCTACTGCTTTTTAAAAGTCTTTTGGAAGCTGTGAGCTTACTTTCTGCATTGGCCGGGTCATAGAGTAGGGGAGAGGACAAAGGGATAAATGCTAACTAATAATAGCATAATAAATGCTAACTAATAATAGCAATCAATGGAACAGGGAAAACTAGGAAGAAATCAAGGCAAAAAACATCTTGGAGTGATAGCTTTCACTGCAGATTAGATATGTGTTTGCAGCCTGACAGGTGGAAAAAAGAAACCAATGTCATTTCAGACATTGCAGTGGAGGGTCACAGCCCTGAGGTCAGTGATCAGGCCCTGTTATGTGATTCTGATAAGTCCAAACCTAGAATACTGCATGTAGTTCTGGACTCTCAAAGCAATAAATATGGTGACAAATAGGTGAGAGTTTGGAGAAGAGCAATAAAAATGATTGAAGAGCCCAGGGGAGTGATTTATGATAAAGGGATAGAAGAACTCAACTCTGAGAACTTGGCGAGCTGATGACTAAGTCAAAGCATGATGGATGCACACAGGCATTAGAATAGGGCAAATGTTCTGGAACGGGTTGAAGTTGAGGGATAAGGACAAGAGAGAATGAAGTTAGAGAAAGGAAATCTGAGTCACAGGTCAGAAAACTTGAGGAAGTCAAAATGCCATGAAATTTTTTCGCTTAGTAAAAATGAAGGATTGCTCAGTTGGGACAGAATTTGAGATCATTATCAGAGAGGCAGTCTACAAAACGTAGAGGAAGGTGTTTGTAGAAGGATAAACCCATATGAGGTGGTGTGCTACTGCAAGATTGGTGGGAAGGGCAGAGGACTCAGCTGAAAGATGTCGAGCAGGTGTGAATGAAGAATGCTATTGGCTATTCAAATTCTGCCAGTGCCCTCACTCCGTACCCTGGAAATGTCTGCATGGTTGCGGGGAGCCAGAGTTTTAGCTCATGGTGGTGAGAATCTCAGTTGACTATGGCTCTTCCTGAGTACAATAGTGTAAAGGGTGAGGATAAGCCCTCCTCATCTCTCAGCCTGCAAACCTGCTGCTGAAGAAACAACAACAAAATGTCATTTCCATTTTGCCCGGAATGACCCAGGCCGGCTCTCTGCAGTGATTGGATTTGGTGGTTAATCATTCAAGCCTCCACATCCCTCGCCTGCTAGACAGACCATGCATGGGTGGGCCTGACTTTGCTCAGGAATTGCGTAACCCTTCATCATCCCTCCGCTGTAGGTAGAGACAGTCTTAGGGTATAGACAAGAGCCTCCAGGGAGGTGGTGGAGGCCCCGGCCTTGGTGTCTGGTGTTGTTTGAAACAAGGCGAGCTAAAGCACTGAGCTTACAGACTGGCAGGAACATTAGCCCCAGGAAATAGACAAGGAGACCTCATCTGCCATTTCCATCTCTAATTTCCATTATTCTATGATCATCACTGTCTATGAGGTCTCATTTTGGACACTAATAAAATAATGGAGCAACTGTTAGAAGGAGGGAAAAAAAGTGACTATCTTAAGGATAATGGAGCCAGGAGTGATAAGCAGTGTGAGTTTATATGTATACAATATAAAAAAGCACCAGACAAATGACTGCATTTCTCCTCATAAAATGACAAGATAAGTGAAAAGTAGAAGGTGCCATATATCTTGATTTAAATCAAGGATCTGATGTCATGTTTCTTTAAATGATACTCACAAATTAATCGGAATTGGTTTGTATGTGAAGACTGTCACTCAAATTGAAAACCGTCTGACAGATTGCCAACTAATGATATGTACTGGGGTATTATGGAAAAATCAACGGTAGGCCTGATTTTCCTGAATATTGTATTTAATGTTCCAGAAGTGGAGGTAAGCAGCCCATGGGTGGATATTTATGTTTTTCACTTTGCATTGTGTTGCACACATTAAAATAGTTGAACATTCTTTTGAAGTAGAAAAACCAAACCTTAGGCCAGTAATACTTAAAGCAAGTTCCTTCATGACAAATCAAGGTTAATGTACCAGGAGAAAAGTAGCAATAAGCATTCATGACTTTCAGACAAAGAAGAAAATTGATCAAGGACACTAATACAAAAAGTTACAAATCAGTGATTCGTTGATGCTGAGGGTTTCCACCTGCAAATTTATCCAGCCTCTGCCTCACTCCAGTTTCCTGGTCCTGTGTGTGTGCATGTGCATGTGTGTGAGTGTGAGGGTGGTTCGGTGTGTGTGTGTGCATGTGCATGTGTGTGTGTGTGTGTGAGGGTGGTTTGGTGTGTGTGTGTGCATGTGCATGTGTGTGAGTGTGAGGGTGGTTTGGTGTGTGTGTGTGTATGTGCATGTGTGTGTGTGTGAGGGTGGTCTGGTGTATGTGTGTGCATGTGCATGTGTGTGAGTGTGAGGGTGGTTAGGTGTGTGTGTGTATGTGCATGTGTGTGAGTGTGAGGGTGGTTTGGTGTGTGTGTGTGCATGTGCATGTGTGTGAGTGTGAGGGTGGTCTGGTGTATGTGTGTGCATGTGCATGTGTGTGAGTGTGAGGGTGGTTCGGTGTGTGTGTGTGGATGTGCATGTGTGTGTGTTGTGAGTGTGGTATGGTGTGTGTGTGTGCATGTGCATGTGTGTGAGTGTGAGTGTGGTACGGTGTGTGTGTGTGAGTGTGGTACGGTGTGTGTGTGTGAGTGTGGTACGGTGTGTGTATGAGCATGGTACGATGTGTGTGTGTGTGAGTGTGGTATGGTGTGTGTGTGTGACCATGTGCGTATGTGTGTGTTGTGAGTGTGGTACGGTGTGTGTGTGTGTGAGCATGTGCATGTGTGTGTGTGTGAGTATGGTACGGTATGTGTGTGTGAGCATGTGCATGTGTGTGTGTTGTGAGTGTGGTACGGTGTGTGTGTGAGCATGGTACGATGTGTGTGTGTGTGAGTGTGGTATGGTGTGTGTGTGTGTGAGCATGTGCATGAGAGTGAGCCAGTTTTTTTAAATATACGAATCCTCTTACCACTCCATCATTTATTCTCCCATTCATTCATATTTTCAACATATTCACCCATTACTTATGGTGGTTCAGGGTATATGAGGTCGCTATTTATAGAAGATGTGGTTGGTACCTGCCCTGGAAGAACTAGTAGTCTACATAGACAGTTCGAAGCATAATAAGTAATTGCAATGAATTTGAAGACCTATTAAAATAAACGTATGAGCAAAGGTTTGTGAGATTAAAGTTTAAGGGATGATTTATGTGAGGTCAAAGAATCTGAAGTAGGACTTCATAGAAAAGTCGTATTTTGAACTGCTCTATTTGACGGTTAACAAAGACAATTCTAAGCAAAGGGAACAGCATGTACAAAGACACAGAGATCTCCATAGGCTTGGTTTTCCAAGAAGAGCAAATAAGTAGCTCACTCTTGAATAAGAATACAGCATTGCAGGGCCAGGAAAAGAGGATGGTCAGGTGGTTATAGACTAGATCTCAAAGAGGTCTTGTTTAGTAAGGCTTTGGGTGTTAAAGTTCCCATGTGCAGAATTCTAGAATTATTAGCAAGAGGGAGAAGTTCCAAGGTTTCTTTATATTTGGGGCAGAATATCTCTGCACTGCATATCAGTTTTCGAGACTCTTCATAATACATTTAGATAATACTAAGTTCCAAGGTTTCTTTATATTTGGGGCAGAATATCTCTGCACTGCATATCAGTTTTCGAGACCCTTCATAATACATTTAGATAATACTAAAAGAAAACAAAAAACAAAACAAACACAAAATCCCTTGGAGCTATCTAGATTTTTATTTACCTGGATTCTCCAAGTGAAATATATTCCTAAAGTTATCCTGTACACAAAAGCGTTCACTACCAAACAGCCAAGAATGACAGGGAAGTGGAAGCCATATACACCCAGTATGTGAATCAAAGAGTTGCAGTCATTCCCTGGTGACTCCAGTTCTGCCAGAAATGCCCA